TTTGAAAAATGAAATTTGCTGAAATCAATCAATATGCTTCTAAACATATGATAATTTTGGAACAGTTATTATTTAAGTATTATTTAAGTATTATCGTTTAAAAAATTTATTGAAGTGACACCTGAATTTCACCAACATGGTTGGCTTATCAAGTTTTTCGTACACAATTCCATTATGCATCATATTTGTATTTTTTTTATTTCAGTGTTTTTTGTGCCATGGACAGCCATTTTCAGTTTGCCTCAAAAAAGTTTTGTTGATATGTTTTGTTGATATGTTCACTTCTTTCAAGGCCTAGAAACTTAGTCATTTTCATCAAAATTTACAAAGAGCTGTTTTCTGCTCTTTGATCAAGTTGTTGTCTTTTTGACACATTCCCCATTTCCATTCTCAATTTTACCAATTTTGTGTAATCAACTCCTGCAGTTTTTAATCTAGATCCTTGAAACTTCACATAATGATTACACAAACATAGAAATTGTTCACCTGCTACTATGGAATTTTTTTTCCATTTTTCCCCAACAGGAATTTTTATCAGCAAAATATTTCAAAAGATTTGTTTTTAACCCAGATCTTTGGAATTTCAGATAGTTTGTATACCAGCTGAGGTTGAATGCCTGTCAATATGGAGTAATTTAAAGATTTTTCATTATTTTTATTTTTTATATTTCCATAATTTAAATTTCAGTATTGGCCATCCTCCATTTTTTAAGAAACAATCTGTGTAACTGAGCAGTTTGAGTCCATGATCCATTTATTGACCATACATGAGTACTGTACCATGAAAGTTAAGCACAAATTCACACCTATGTGCACTATTCACTGGTAGTTAACCTATAAAAGAAGAGGTATTAAACTATGCTTCAAAATATTTTTAAAAATGTGATTGATTCATTTTAAACAACTCATTCTTGCTGTACATTTTTGTTTTGTCTTCAATGAGAGATGCAGTTAGAAAATAGCTGGCAACAAAATTAAAAATGATTTTCTATTTTATACCATCACAGACTTGTTAATGACTGAATGTATTATACCTAGCCTATCACTTAAGGTATTGTGTTTGGAGTCCTAACAGGGCAAGGGGAGGTAATACCCCTGTTTAACTCCTCATACTGGAAGATCCCCAAGTGTTAGGCAATTACTAGACTTTTTTTTATTACATTTGTATAAGTATTTACATATCAGATGTCTGCTAACTGATGTATAAGCTATTATTTAGAGCTCTGTAAATAAAAAAAAATGTAAACATAGTTCTAAAAAATACCTTTAATGGGTGGAAGAAATTGGGGGTTACTGAAAACATTTGGTAAATTTTCAAAAAACAAGTAACATGTACAAAAGCACATCTGGTATTTTTGCATTATTTTATGACTGAATTTAATAAATTATTTGTATTTTACACATTGATAATTACTCCAGTTGCCGTGATTGGAAAAAGAAAATGTTGTGTGATGCTTTGGAACATTCTGGTGACAAATGTATATTTTATCAAATACATTCTGTACAATGGAAAGGACATTTTATTAATTTGATAAAATGGATTCAGTGAATTGATTAGCATAAACAATAAACACCTATATTGAAAAGCCTATTAAAGCAGTCACGATAGAAGATCCAAGGAAGAAGGCTAAATAAATCTTCAACTAAGTCTGAGGCTTTACCAAGAAAATAATAAGGCAAGTTTACTTAAGCCAAACAATTTGTATACATTCTCAAGAAATACTTGATAAAAAGTGAAAATCAAAACAACAAACAGCATCCTTCTTATTTTCTGCATGCAAAACACCATTGACCAATTAATTTACCAGTTTAATATTTTAAGATACCAGGTATATGAACAAGATTTTCTATTAAAATATCAATAGTAAATCCTGAGATGAATACAACTTCAAGGGGAGACTAGTACAATTAACAGGAAGATTTGTTTTCCATCTTTTATATAATGATATTGTACAAACTGGTGTTGATGTTATACTACATGTAATGTGTTCATGAAGTGTTTAGTAAATTTGAGGATGACAGTTGAATGGATTTGTAAAATGTATAATGTATCAATTTTAATTCCTTTTTAGGTTCCTTCTGTGATGCATTTTCATGGTGTGGGAATAAGACTTGGTGGTCTTATACAGCTAATATGATGGTAGGTACCAGTATATTATTCCTGTTTTGAAAAAAAAACCAACAAATGTATTATAAAAATTATTTGGAAACACTATGTCCTTTAGGCTTGAAGGTTTATAAGCTGTTGGTCAGAATTCTACTCTCTCTTCTATCAGTACCATTATATGAGTGAATTAAAGGATCTGAATTGATTACGTATGTAAAATTTTGTTGGATTGTTTGATTGGTGTCTTATCGATATATTTTCAGCATCTATTACATATATATAACCCATTTTCAATATAATATACATACAGTAAACCAACAGTGATTCTTTTAAACCATTTTCAATGACTAAACCATTTATATTTCAGGTTAGCATCACAGCTTGTCCATAGGGATTGAGGCTGGGAATGGTCATTGGAGCTGACTTTTATGGTGAGAAAAAACACAAAAGATTTATGTTATCTAAAATATTCTCCATATATAAAAATAAAGAGATTTGGTATGATTGCCAATGAGACAATTATCAACCAGAGACGAACTGACGTGGATGTAAGAGACTAAAGGTCACTGTATGGCCTTCAACAATGAGCAAAACCTATACTATATAAGAAAGCTATAATAGTCCCTGAGGTAACAAAATGTAAAACAATTCAAATGAGATAACCAACTGCCTGATATATGATAAAACAATAAATGAAAAAAAAATATTTCGGGCATCGACAAGCAGCTTGTTTTTCATTCTTTTTTGTGTAAAAACACTGGTAATTTATGGCAACAAATCTGTTTAAAACAAGGTAAACATAATGTTATATGCATAATAATTGTAATGCCCAGTCATTTATTCTAATGCATTCAATATTGTTTCAATTTTCATAGTTTTGACAGATGTGTTTAAGAATGTCTATTTCTTTTTCAGGTAACTTTTACTGTGGCTGCATAAAATAATTGTGTGATATAAGTGTAACAGTTAAGGATGAATTTCAGACAATTTTTGTGTATGTTTGAGAAAATGTTTATAGTTTTTTACAAAAAAAAAAAAAAAAAAAAAAAAAAAAAATAATGTAAAGATTCTCCATTTTCAACAATATTGGAAGTTGTAGGCTAAACTTGTATTTGAAATTTCTAAAATTTTTCTTTTTTCCATTAAAATCCATGGATATATTCTGGTATCTCTTCTCATGTCCATTATTGCCGTGACATTTTTTGTCATGCTTATGGAGACTAAACTGGTTTTTGGTATGTTGTTTTGTAATGGTGAGTTCATAGTTCAGATTCTATTCATTAATTTTTCCCCTGTAACTAGATTTAATTCGTACTTTGAAACTGAAGTGAAACAGACCAATTTGACAATTTTACTTGTAGACCTACATAAGATATCTTAATAATGGTCCATGTCTAGTCAAAACACTTTCAGTAGGTTTAGAATGGAGAATCTATATAAAAAAAAAAAAAGAAAGAAAGAAAAAAAAATGTTATTTTATTGAAATGTATTTTTGGGGTTTCCTGAATTGTTAGATATATATTTTTAGCTAAAAAAAAGTGAAGATTATTTCACAAAAGCATAGGAAAGGAACATCTTGGTGAATAAAGATTGATTTTTGGTGTGAAACACCATCTTCAGCCCGATTTGTTATATCTTGGTGGCCATTTTTGTTTATGGTTGAGATAGTTTGAGTAACTTCAGGCAGGAAAACTGGCAAAACTAGTCAATTAAGATTTGAGTCGAACACACCCACATGCTGGGTTTGAACTATCAACCTCAGTATTGACAGGTTGGTGATACAGTAGTTGGAACTACTTAAACCACTCTGCTATCAAGGTTCCTAGGCGAAAACTGATGTGCTTAAAATGTTATTCAAATGTGTTGGATTTTTTAAATCACATTATTTTTTAATTTTAATTATACCATTTTTGGTATTTTTGTTAAATATAGCAATGATAAGGAGTCTTAACAGGGTGAAATTTAGGTCAAAGGGAGGTAATTTATTATACCCCTGTTTAACTCCTCATACTTGAAATTTCCTCAATGTTAGGGAATATATAACTTTATTTACTGGAATATTCACATTTGTATATTTTTTTTTTAAATATCATATGCACACTAGCTAATATTGACTGTTATTTAGAGCTCTGTAAATAAAAAAAAAATGTAAACAGAGCTTTAAATAATAGATATGAAGGGTGGGAGAAATCATGGGTCACTACTGGTACAAGTGATTTGGTGAAATTTTCAAAAAAGGCGATTAATTGAAAGTGCATCTGATAATTTTTTTACACATGTATATAACTAATTTTTAAAAGTAATGTAAAAAAATGGATTGGCAATAAGATAATGAGGAAAGCCTACTTGGCAGCCAGGAAAGCAGCTCTAAGGAAGATGGTCAATTAAATCTTCAACTAAGTCTGAGGTTTTACCAAGAAAATAATAAGGCAAGTTTATTTAAGCAAAACAATTTCTATACATTCTCTAGAAATATTGGATAAAAGTGCATTTTATCTTTTGCATGCAAATGACCATTGAATTAATTTAGCAGTTTAATAATTTAAGTTGCCAGGTGCATGAACAAGATTTTCTATTAAATACAATAGTAAATCCAGATATAGGAATACAATTTCAATAGGAGACCAGTACAATTTACAGCCAGATTTGTTTATTCAATGGGAGATAACTCATTATAAAATATGCATATGATTTTTGTCCATTTGAAATTCAAATCTTAAACCCAAGACTCTTTTTTCTCCTTTCTTTTATATTAATTTTACAAACTGGTATTGGATGTTATACTATTGTGTACATGAAGTTAGAAATCAGAACAATGCTTGGTAAATTTTATGTTTACAGAAATGGATTTGTAAAATATATAATGTGTCAATTTTAATTTCTTTTTAGGTTCTTTCTGTGACATGTTTTCATGGTGTGGGAATAAGACTTGGTGGTCTAATACAGCTAATACTTAGGTATGTACCAGTATGTTATTCCTGTTTTGAACAAAATTACAAATGTATTATAAAAATTATTTGGAAAAATTGTCTTCTAAGCTTAAAGGTTTATAAGATGATGGTTTGAAGTCTACTTTTTCTTTAATAAGTACCGTTATACAATGTATTTAAGAATCTGATGTAATTAAGTAAAAGTTTGTTAAGTTGTTGGATTGCTGTCTAATCCATATCTTCTCAACATCTATTATACATTTATAGACTTTTTCTTTTTTATATACATACAGTATAGTGGTACCAACAATGACCCTTTTAACAATTTTGAATGACTAATCATTTTCTATTCCAGGTTAGCATCACAGCTTGTCTGTAAGGATTGAAGCTGGGAATGGACATTTGAGCTGACTTTTAATGGTAAGAACCAATATAAAGATTGATGAACTAATCATCAAAGAGCATGTTAATGCCCTAGATTTTTATTCTGCACAGATGTAGATCTTACATTTTAATGTTAATTGAATATATATTCTTGAAGGAGGTATCAAGATAAATATGGGAAGTCAAAACTTGTAATTTAGAAAATCATCTGTTATCTAAAATTGTCTCCATATATAAAAAAAAAAATGACATGGATGTAAGCAACTAAAGGTCGCGGTTAATTTTTCTTATGCATTATATATTGATTCAATTTTCATATAGGTTTGACATATATTTAAGAATAAATATTTCTTTTTCAGGTAACTTTTACTGTGGCTGCATAAAGATGATTGTGTGATATAAATGTAATCGTGAAAAATGTAATTCAGACAATTTTTGTGTATGTTTGAGAAAATGTTTATAATTTTTTACAAAAAAAAAAATATGTAAAGATTCTCCATTTTCAACAAGATTGGAAGTTGTAGTTTAACTTGTATTTGAAATTTCAAAATTTCTTTTTATTTTTTCCATTAAAACCCATGGCTATATTCTGGTATCTCTATTGCCTTGACACCAATTTTACAATTTTACTTGTTAGACCTACTTAAGATATCTTAATAGTAGTCCATGTCTTGTCAAAACACTTCCAGTTGGTTAAGAATGGAGAATCTAAAAAAAAAAAAAAAAAAAAATGTTATTTTAATGAAACGTATTTTTTGGGTTTCCTGAATTGTTGGATATATATTTTTTTTCCAATTTTTTTTAATTTTTAGCTGAAAAAAATTAAGATTATTTCACAAGAAGCATAGTAAAGGAACATCTTGGTGAAAAAAGGTTGATTGATTGATTTTTGGTGTGAAATGCCACTTTAAGACCAATTTGTTATATCTTGGTGACCATTTTTTTTTTGGTTGAGAAACCAACTGTCAGCAGAAAAACTGGCAATCCTAGTCTAATGCACCCACATGCTGGGTTTGAACTCTCAACCTCAGTATTGACAGGCTAGAGATACAGTAGTTGAACTACTTTGTTCTACCACCAAGGCCTCCTAGGTGAAAAATAGATCAAACTATTTTTTGATTTTAGTTATACCACTTTATGTATATTTGTTGAATATAACAATGATGTGGATCCCAACAGGGTGAAATTTAGGTCAAAGCTAATATATGCTATTTAGAGAAGGTTTTCATTGAAACTTTCAGATTATCATCTGTAACTAATGGCAGTGTTCTTTTCATTTTATTATAGTTAAATCTTGGGGGGTTCCCAATTGAAATGAATGGACCTTTTGAATATTTTGATAATGTTGGGAAGGAAACTTCTCACCAAAATTTTGTCATGTGAAGGATAGGTTGGTTTGAATATCTTTTATTGTGTTTTTAATTTTGCTTTTAATAATTAGATCTCATTATGACTAAATTTTCATAACATTAACAAGAATTCAGGATAAATTCTGCTTTAAGACACTGATATATTACCATGGTAGCTTTTACGTAAATTTTATAAGGCTTTGCTGTAACAAGATTTGTGTTTTATCTGGTTTTATATTATTTTAGTGGTTTTTATGTGATTTTATTTATTTTATTGTCAAATCTTGTTATACCAAACTTTAAACAAAGTTTGAGGGGGAAAATTAATAGATTTTGTTTACAATACAAAATACTTATTAACATAATGAGATCTGACATTTTTTATTTCTTGATGGTTTAAAAAGAAAATGAATGTATTTTACTATTGCTGAGTTCTTGAAGATTGACCAAATTGCAAAATTCATGGTTGCAAGTTCAGCTACAACTTAATCTATGTTGATATCAGCTGAACCATCCTATTCTTCAAAACTAGTAATAAGATGTAAGAATGTTCAAATCCATTTTTCGATTGGAGAACCTTAAGAAATTACAAAAAAATGGTACAATGTCGACAGATACTGAAGATTATTTGAAAGTTTAGGAGAAGCTGATTTAATCCTTTAATTGTGGGTTAAAGTTAGTGATGAACAAACATATGATACACTTGCTCACTACAGTACATTTCCTAATGGATAAATCAGACAATGAAATAACTTGGTACCAGTAACCTCCTTCCTTTGCAAAAAAGTACTGGTTCCCTTAAATAAAAAAAAATATATATATATCTCATATATACTACTTCAGTAAAAAAAATAACTTTGCATAGAGATTGGGTGGAAGTAAAGAAACTGTATATAATAAAAACAGCTTGGGGTTAAAAATGAGGAATTAAATGCTGTTAACTCTTTTGGTGATCTAATAACTTTTGCACAGATCAAGATATTTAGTTTATTTCAATTACCCTTTAAATAAGTTGAGTGCACCTCAAAAATTAATTTGATTCATGAATTACATAGGTTTCTTCTGTATAAAAATTGTATTTATAAAATACCCTTTTTAAAAGTTTGAGACAAACTGGGGATTCTTATTTTTTATGGAATTCTATAATTTTTTTACAAGTTTGGTAAGTAATGGAAAGTCTCAAGTTTATATATTAAAATAAAAATAGTTACTTTGATAGGAACTAATGATAAAAAGATATGGTACATGTATCCCAAAACAGACATGATTTTCTTTTAACAACCAGCAATCAATTTCACTAAAAACCTAGTAAGTCATGAACATACTCAATTTTAATCTTTTATTTTTGTGAAAAGAGCCAGAGTCTGAGAGACTGATATCAAGGAAATAAGAAAGAAGCCTCAGTACTGTCAGTTATTTTGTATAATTGTAATATTTTCCTAATAGTATACAACCCATGATGCAGCTCCTTTTTCTCATTTCAATTGTAAAGTTGATATACAACCATGGTCAAAAGCTTGGTTTTTTGTCGAGTCAGATTATTTTGTTTTTGTTTTTCGACACTATCAATGAAATTATTTTTTTTCAAAATTTAACACTATAAGGTATGGGGAAAATCTGGATTCAGAATTTTTTTTTCAATCAAATTGGGGATCAGAATATTTTTTAGGAAAAAAACCATAACCCCCCCTTGAAGTTAAATGGTCGTTCCCTTACTAGTTATTTCTATTTTAGATATTCAATACACACCTTATGAATCAGATTATGTCTTGTACATTTTGGTATTGTATATTTTGATGCATGATAATAGTATAATTAATTGATAAATAAAATGTAATGAAGAAAATCCATCTTATATTTCATGTGAGTCTGGATGACAAATGAAGGGGGAAGAGGTTTCTGTGGTCGAGGGTATGACAAAGATGATTTATATTTCCATCAATTGGTGTCTATCATCATCATTCTTTAAAAAAATTTAAAATGTTCATGAAACTTCCTTGCTGGTTTGAACAAGTGATGCTTTAGGTACTACCTTACAGAATGTTCATTGGACTTGCTGATTACCTTAGCTACCAATGCTTTAAATAGACCAAGAATGCTAACATGATCTTATTGTCTTGCCTGTACCACATGCAAAAAAAAGGGATACTAATCTGGCAGCGTAGTCGTCATCATATAAAACTTCATTATACAGACGGTAGAAGAGCTGGATATACCATTTCTGGTATGCTGATGCCTTATGGTCAGGTTTTCATCTGGCATATGACCAATGTCGACCTCATTTTTAAGGTTCAATGACCACTTAAAAAAGTGTATAATTTTTCTTATAAAAAGAATTTGACTGTTTTGTTCGTAATAAGGACAACTATATTTGGTATATAGATTCATTGCAAGGTATACATGTCCTTCAGACAGGGATCACCTTATAGTGGCACCATGTCATGGTTCAGTGATTAATGTTTAGTTTCTCAGGTGCTCTCAGGTGCTCGAGAAGGGTAGGCAGATCCTGCTTCACATGTGGCATACATAGAATTCAATTACCATCAGTTACACAGACCAGTGGCAGATCCAAGATTTTTCTAAAAGGGGGGAGAGGGGCGTAATTCCATTAAACGGATTATAAACTACCTAACAAAGCCAGTAGAAAAAAATTTTGGGACAATTTTATGCTAAAAAATCATATAAATCGTGAAAATTATGTTTTGGGGTGATCAAAGGCACACACCCCTGGATCTACCACTGATAGACCATTGACAGATGTGATATATATTGTACTATAAACAATACGCCACTGTGTGTAATTATGAGAGTTTTGTATTTAAAGAACTAAAGAAGGTCATGCTGCCAGGGCGGATTCAGGCGGGGGCACACACGCCCTAAAATTTACAAAGCATTGGTTGTCCTCAGCTTCATAGAAGAATATTTCGATAATTTCAAAATAAAAATTTTGCCTCGCTCTGCTCGGTGAAAATTTAAGTTTGCACCCCCCCTTAAACCTAAAATCCTGGATCTGCCCCTGTAAGAATCAATGTTTCAGTTTCAAGCATTTGATCATTATGTGTTCATGAAGGAATTATGATACTGTAACATTGTATGTGTACTTTTGAACAGTGTTAAAATGGAATTTATCAATCATTTTCACAATGTTGCCATTGATAACATAGAAATCCTCACTTTAACGTGTAACTTGAAAAAAGGTTTTGCATCTTCAATTTACCAAAATCAGTTAAAAATAGTAATGAATAGTATGTTGAAACTTTGATTTAGACAAACATTCTTTGAATAATATTTAATTTAAAGTGTTATTACTGGTCAAGGTATAACGACTTATTATCGTAAACTAAAACAAATCTCTCTAATAACCAAAAAGAAACATGTCAATTAAAAACAAATAAATGATTGTGATTTTGTCATCAATGATAACTGAAGTTGCCTTTTAATTTTATATTTCGATTGTTGACAATTAAACGAAATACAATTAAATTAAAAATGGTTTGAATATTGGGGAACAGACAAGCAAACAATTTAGTACATTACGTCCTTCCTTTATTTGCAGGTTCCTAATCATACCATAAATGCACCGGCAAAATCGTAGAAGTTTCGACTGAAAATGGTACCAATTTTGCATTTTACTGGTTTATTTCTACATGAATTTATGTTTCAGATTCTTAAGAGAAAGAAATGTTTTCAACTTGTTAATGTAGACTATTTATTTGAAAACTCATAATTTAGAAAGTGAGTTCCCAACACTGTCTCGTCCTAAACAGGCATGCAATATTATAATTTTGCTACTGGACGTTAAGGAAACATCAATCAATTCAACATTTTCCATTGTATTTTCATTGACAAAGGACAAGCAACATACGTAAATAATGAAATTCTCTGCAATATACTTGATTAAACGTCACGTCTATGACTAGTTAAAGTGAGCATGTAAAAATGAAAATGTTGGAAAAAAAAAAAAAAAAAAGAAAGATTAATTTTTTTGTTATGAATTATGTTAAATTGGCAAACCTACATGGTACATGACAACACCTACCTTTGTCAAATTGTACTGAACCTACTCATACTTTTACCAACTTGTTCTTCAGTCTTCACCAACTCGTACCAAGGATTTGTATAGTTAGATAAACAAATCCTTGCTCGTACCCATTGCTTTTTACTTGTCCGAGACATGTAGTACATGTATGTCTGTCTCTGATCTAGGCCAAACTTAAAAATATTTTGGTTTGCCCAAACCCTACCCAAAGGTAGAGACAGTGGGTAGGTAGGTAGGCATTTTCTTTTTTTTTTGACAAAGAGAAATTGAAGTGTCAGATGTTTTTTAGTCTTCATGCCTATCAGATTAAAAAAAAAAAAAAAAAATTCACATCAGGATAATAAAAGATATTGAGTAGGCAGCTATTTTCTGGGTAGGTAGGATTAGGGCAAACAAACACATTCTTTTTTATGGCCCTAGTGGTAAAATATGTTTAAAATTTATTGGTTGACTTTTTTTTTGTTTCGTTCTTTTTTTTTTTAATCAAGTTTTCGAGTCCACTGTTTAGCACGTCGGGAACATTACCTTATATGGATATGCATAAATTAGCATACTAATGTCCTCGAAAATATAATTTTTTATTTACGCAATTTTTTTTACCTGGGTCAGGAAATAAGATTAACAGGGGCCCAGTAGCCAATGCTACTGGAAATTTGGCTGGGCCCTAACTTTTTAACAGAATATTCCCATATGGTCAATACAAAATTTTCACATTTTGTCAGTTGGGCCCCTGGAGTGATATTTCAAAGCTTATTCCTTGTGGGTTTTTGACCAATCCACTATATGAGTAACAATGCATGATGGACTACTACATGTTGATGATCTATCGAGAGCATTTGTTATTTACTGAAATACAACACTTTTTTTCATGCATTGCGAGATTAACAATTTCGCTTAGTTTTTCATCTTTTGTATCTACATTTATAGTCCATGGTATAAAGTATTTGTTCCATGCTCAGATTAACAAATAGCTGTTTCTATGAGAAGAAACTACTCGAGTGTTTGAATTACCTGAAATATAGTCATTCAGTCTCTGATTCATGATTTTTTATTATTAATTGTTTTGGCTTTTAACTAGCTGTCAGTAACTGCGAGTACTCTCAAATCGTACTTTCTTGTTAATTTGACCTGTTGATACTAGTTGTAATGCTTTTTTGTTATTTAATGTTAACATGGATCTTGTCTACATACCAGCTTTGATTATTTGGAATTAATACAAATTTTCACTTCTTCGTACTATGAACATCAAAATTATTTCATTTCTCCTTAGATAATGTTCTTGCACCTGTACAGGAAATTTTATCTAGCACTAATTGTATAGTTTTATTGTTGATATTCACCCCATATGTACCAAGTGTTAGATTAGTTTTATTGATATTAAAGAAATTTCTTGGTATTCCTAAACGGAAGATTTTATCCACACAGAAGAAGAAGTATACTTAACAACAAAATTATTTCCATTTACCTGTGTATAATATGACGCAGTTTTTTTCAAAAGTGATAATTTTCTAAATATTGTTTAACATTTCACAGTGGTATCATACTTTAACTTTGTTTCAACCTGTTTATTTACTTTTGACCTTAGTTATTTATCCCTTATGATTTTTATTAACTATGTATTTGCATTCAGGTATCACAGATAAAAGTTATTCGTTCATTATGTGTTAATTTACGTTTTTTGATTGAGTTAAGCCTTCCAATTGATATTTTATAGTGTGTCTTTCTATGTTGTGATGTTATACTATTGTTTCAGAAAAAGGGAGAAGGTTTGGTACTATTAAAACGTTTAATCCTGCTGCAAATGTTTGCACCTGTCCTAAGTCAGGAATCTGATGTACAGTAGTTGTCGTCTGTTTATGTAGTTCATACGTGTTTCTCGTTTCTCGTTTTTATATAGATTAGACCGTTGGTTTTCCCGTTTGAATGGTTTTACACTAGTAATTTTTGGGGCCCTTTATAGCTTGCTGTTAGGTGTGAGCCAATGCTCCGTGTTGAAGGCTGTACCTTGACCTATAATGGTTTACTTTTATAAATTGTTACTTGGATGGAGAGTTGTCTCATTGGCACTCATACCACATCTTCCTATATCTAATTAATATTATTGATGATCAGATATTCGTCAACAAGACAGCAACGAAACAACAGTGAAAAACATAATTACCCATAAGATGAACTTTTATTTGGATAGATAACTAGAGGCTCTCAAGAGCCTGTGTCGCTCACCTGATTCTACTTTGGTTTTGGAAATCATGTAAAAATAGATTAAAATCATACCAGATACCCTAATAATGATTGAGGCCAAATTTGGTTTAATATTGGCCCTGTAATTTAATTTAAAGCAGAAGACTTTTGTAAAGTTTACAGAAATTACCAATAAATTCATTGAAATTGTAGAACATGACTATAAGGACAGTTACTCCAACAAGATGTCAATTGACAATTTTGCTCATGTTGACTTGTGTGTAGATCATCTTTTCTTGATATTTTTGCAGTTTACAGTAGATCTCAATCTATAAAGATACATGTATTAAGGTCTTCATCAGCACCTCATAAGGAACATTTATGCCATGTTTGGTTTCATTCCATTCGGTGCTCCTCTAGAAGAAGCATTTGTATGTACTTTCCATAGGGTCTTATGTTAAATTAAGTCCCCTGCTGGCGGCCATCTTGGATGATGGATCAGCTTCAAAGTAACAACACTTGGTCAGCACCTCAAAAGAAACATTCATACCATGTTTGGTTTCAATCCATTAAGCGGTTTTCTAGAAGAAGACATTTGTATGTATTTCCCAAAGGGTCCTATGTTACAATAAGTCCCCGCTGGCGGCCATCTTGGATGATGGATTGCCTACAAAGTTACAATACTTGGTCAGCACCTCATAAGGAACATCCATGTCATGCTTTATTTCATTCCATTTAGTGGTTCTCTAAAAGAAGACATTTGTATGTATTCTATAGGGTCCTATGTTAAACTAAGTCCTTCTCTGGTGGCCATCTTGGATGATGGATTTGCTACAAAGTAACAACACTTGGTCAGCACCTCATAAGGAACATTCATGCCATGTTTGGTTTTATTCCATTCAGTGGTTCTCTAAAAGAAGACATTTGTATGTATTGTCCATAGGGTCCTTTGTTAAACTAATTTCACCCTTGGTGGCCATCTTGGATGATGGATTGGCTTCAAAGTAACAACACTTGTTCAGCACCTCATAAGGAACATTCATGCCATGTTTGTTTTCATTCCAATCAGTGGTTCTCTAGAAGAAGTTCAAAATGTAAAAAGTTAACGATGACGGACGCCAAGTGATGAGAAAAGCAAACTTGGCCCTTCGAATAGCCTCTAGGAACAAAGGAAAAGAAATTGAGAGCATAATTCCCCTGTTTGCATATTTCAGTTTTTTTTAATTTTTTTTCTATCTCAAACTGTTTCCTTTGTATACGACCAAAAAATTTTGCGTTTGTATAATGCTATTGTCGTCGTCGTTGTCCGAGGACACATTTGGTTTCCTGACAATAATTTTAGTTTAAGTGAATGGATCTCTATGAAATTTTACCAGAAGGTTCAATACCACAAAAGGAAGGTTGGGATTGATTTTGGGGGTTATGGTACCAACAGTTGAGGAATTAGGGGCCAAAAATAAGCATTTTTGTAACTTCCAGACATAACGTGTGTGTTAGTGTATGGATCTCTCTGACATTGTACCACAAGGTTCCATATCTCAAAGGGAATGCTGGGATTGAATTTGGGGGAACTTGCCTCAAAATTTTAGGAATTAGGGGCAAAAAACAAGCATTTTTCTAGTTTCAGGACAATAACTTGTGTGTAAGTGTATGGATCTTTATGAAATTGTACTACAAGGTTCCATATCACAAAGGGAAAGCTGGGTTTGAGTTTGGGGGTTATTGCCCTAAACGTTTAGGAATTTGGGGCCCAAAAACAAGCATTTTTCTAGTTTCCAGACAATAACTTGTGTTCAAGTGTATGGATCTCTCTGAAATTGTACTGCAAGGTACCATACCACAAAGGGAAGGCTGGGATTGAGTTTGGGGGGGGGGGGGTGAATCATAAGGGGGTTCAAAAAAATTTTGGGGGGGGGGTTTCCTTTTTTTATACGACCGCAAAAAAAAAATTTTTTTCTTTAAAATTTTCCATTTTAAATTTGTTATTTCTGATTTATATATAAAAGCAAATAATAATGATATGGTTTGAATAGGTAAATTAAAAAATTTTAAGTTCTTAGACCACATTCATTCTGTGTCAGAAACCTATGCTGTGTCAAATATTTAATCACAATCCAAATTCAGTGCTGTATCAAGCTTGAATGTTGTGTCCATACTTGCCCCAACTGTTCAGGTTTTTTTTAGGGTTCATATTTTTTTCTTCAAAAAAAAATTTTTGGAGGGGAATTTGTTTTGAAATTATTTTTTTTTTGGGGGGGGGGGGGGGGGACAAATTTTTTGGAGGGATTTTTTTTTAAAAATTTTCCATTTTTACATTGATTATTTCTGATTTTTATATAAAAGCAACAAATACTGATATGGCAGGAGATACACACCAAACAGGTTGTGTAAAT